GAAAGGCTGGGAAGAAGGATTCGAGAAGAGCAGGGTGATTAGTGATATTAAACGCTTCAAGCATTCCACAGGCTCAGAGCCGCGTGGGCACTGCTCACAGGGGTGAGGCTACACTCAAACTCATATCACCTGTCTCTGGAACCAGTGTTCTTTCTAGAGCAGCTGAAATACATGGCTCTGAGGAACATAGAGAATAGAGAAAAGGAATCTACAGAGGCGCTTGCTTATTGTTCTTTAAGTCAGTCACCACCATTAATTAGCTTCTAGGTGTAGATAAATTACAATTCAACTGAATGGTGGAGTACTACACAGCTGTTTAAAACGATGAGGCACAGACCTCCGTCCGTGTCGTCCACTTGCCCACCACCTGTTTGTGAAAGGAAATTTCACATGGGAGATAATATTTATCAGTTTGGTGATGAGATTAAACTTAGATTAATATCTAGATTTCAGGATCTGGATTTTAGGAAAGAGGAATACCCAGGGAGCATTTCCTCCAAAGTGTGGAACTAGGAGGGTCAGTCCAAAGGGAAAAGAGTGGGAAGAGGTAGGAGGGTGGCAGAGAGCCCCGAGAGTGCCAATATCTAAACGTGGGTTGTGCGTGCTTTTGATTCTCTTCATCTAGATCCCAGATCCTGAGGGAGAAGAGAACAGCTCTGTCTTGGAAGACCTCAGAAAGTGTCGGTAGAGTTCCTGCTGTCACAGTTTTTCCGAAAGGGAAGGGATGAGGTCCCCAGATCCTTTCAGGGATGCTGTCACATTGGGTAGCTGGAGGGAGAATATTTTCACAGAAAAGGCAAGTTTAGAGATGACAGCAGGTGACTTTGGGAGCACTAGGGCCCCTGGAGAGGCATTGAAAGAGGTCATGATGGGGCCATTTGACTTGATTCATTTGATGAGGCCAGTGGACAGGAGGGAGGGCCATGGGCCCTTGTGGAGTGTAGAGGTTCAGCTTAACCCACATGGCCTCTGAAAATCCCTTTCTGCCTGGAATGACTTTCTGTTTTTTAAAAATATTTACTTATTTATGCATACAAGAACTGGGGTACAGGCCAGAAGTGCGGGAGAGTGAGAGGATTCACCAGAGACAGAGTAGGAAGCAGAACAAGCAGACTGACTGAAATATACTGTTGAGGGGAGCAGCAGAGAGACAAGTGCCACACCATGTGGGTCACCTCCCTGCTGGGGATGGAGCTCGTGCTGCAGTGGCTGCAGGTAGCTTCACAGTGCTGCACATTAACCGGTTGTACCACCAGGGAGGCCCTGGAATGCCTTTCTCCATCATTTTGACAAATCCCTTAACTTTAAAGCCCCTGTTCATATATGGCTTTCTTAGAGAAGCTTCCTGCAGCACAAAAGGAAAGCATCTCACTCGCCACCTTCTATGCAATTAACCTGACTTCAAGTCCATGTACCTTTCTAGCCACTGCACTCCTCCAGGCAGTTATCCAGCTGACTTTTGGGGAGACTCATCTTCCCTGTGAGCCTGCTGACAAAGCACTAAATAATAGCAGAGGTTCTAGAGGGTATGAGGAACCCAAGAAAGAACAGATGGATGGAGAGAGCACTCCAGGTATCACCATCTACACTCTAGGTGCAGTGGTGGATCAGGCTCGCATTCTCCCACTGTGGATACCCAGAGTCTGTGTCCTGGGACCCAGGTACCAACTAGGAGTGACACACACACAAAAGACCTGGAGAACAGAAGGGAGTTATGAAAAAAGTGACCACCACTGGAGAGAAAAGAAGAAAAGCAGTAACTCAAACAAGATTCAGAAATTGGCTCTTTCTAGAAGCTTTCTGCACCAAGCTTTGCAAACCAAGATGAAAAACACAAGTACTGAGTTTAAAAGACTCTCTAAGGAGAATCAGACATTTCCACATAAGGCAACAAAATTAGGAAAAAAGAATGAAACTGTCCTAATGCATAAAACAGCTAAAGGGGACCTGGAGATTACTTGTTAGTTATGCAGAAAGCTTCCCCGAGAACTGAAATGATAATGGTTGTGCCAAAGAAAGTGGAAATCAGGCCAGGTTATGAAGGAGGGGTACATGTAAAAAAAATAACAAAAGGCTGTGGAGATAAAAATCAGAGGAGTCGTTCAGAAAAAGAAATGAGATATAACTTGTTCAAGGCAGCAAAAGAATGAGAAAAACATTTTCTGACTGTAACAGGCCAATGAAGGGGAAGAAGAGATTGTTGGCTCGTTGTGAGTTGCAGGGAGAAAACCTATAAGCAATGACACTAAAAAAGCAGAGACTTCTAATTTTTTCTTAACCTAAAAAGGTTAGCTCTGATCTGAAAGCTGAAAGAGGCACCACATGGGATCATGAGAAGGCAGGAAGCCAGGGAGAATGAGGAAAGAACTTGTGTATTCACATCCACAGGCCCTGATGACTTACATGCTTAGGTACTTAAGGAATTGGCCCAAGGTGGCCTCAGATCATAGCTCTCACTCTGCGGGCATTTATGGAGAATGGGTGAGGGGCCTGGAGAGAGGAGATGCAGGCAATCCGTCCCTGCGTCTCTTTAAAGCAGGGGGAAAGCAGATGCCTCTAGAAGTACTGAGCCCATCAGCTGAACTGCTATAATAGAAAACTACTGGGACACGTCGTCAAAAAAATCAATCTGCAAACACTAGGTCATAAGGAATTAGGTAATAACCAGCAATGCTTTCCAAAGAATACATTCTGTCAGAGTAATCCAATTTCCTTCCAGGACAAAATGATGGGCCTGGTAAATCAGGAACGGCAAGAGACATATAATCTTCCTTAACTTAAAGAGCACGGCATTTAATTTCATCTTTCATGAGAAGTCTCAAAAGAAAAACTGGAGAAATGGAGTCTATAGTTGACGTTTCTAGGGTTGGGCAAATGAAAAGAGGTTGGAAGTTTGACCGAGATAGTAGTTCTTCATGTTCTATATAAATGGGTGGATTAAGAGGTTAGGGGAGGTGAGAAGGGTAGTGATGGTCGCTGTAAGCTGGGTAAGTTGGTAGTACAAGTGGAGTTGGTGATAGTGATCGTAGAGCAGTTGGAGGTGATGGTGATGGTGGAAATGGAGACTGACTGTGATGGAGAAGAAGGTTGTAATTGTGGTGGATATGGAGGAGGTATTATTATTGGAAATGGGGCCATCGTTGGAATGGAGACAGAATCAATGGGTATGGTGAGGAAGGTCGTAATAGTGATGGTAGAAATATGTACATCGATAGTAGTGGAAATAGAACTGGAGACAAGGGTGGGGAGCATAACAACAGAAACCAAACTGAGACTCTATATCTGGCTTACACAGCCTTCCTGTTGTGCATCTGTGATATATATCCTTTTTTTAAAAAGGATCCATTTTATATATCCTTTTTTAAAAAATAATATAATAGTTTATTTTTACATCATTTTGTGCCTTTTTCCATATCAGTTGTAATTCCCTTGGGCTTCCCACCACCAAATCATCCATGTGCCATCACCATAGTCCCCCACCCCATTTTTGATCCCATTCCCCAATCCACCCCCATAAAATGTCTCTGGTATATAGTTGTTCATTATTGTTATTTTTTCCACTGGTCCTTTATACTCCTACTATGTGTGAAACTATCTGGAATTTTTCCTTTTCCTTCTGGCTTGTTACACTAAGCATTATCCCTTTCAACTCCATCTATGTTGCTGCAAAAAGCATGTGTTTACTTTTTTGATTGCTGGGTAATATTCCATTGTGTATATCTACCACTTCTTTTTAATCCAGTCATCTACTTTTGGGCATTTGGGTTGACTCCATGTCTTTCCTACTGTAAATAAAGCAGCTATAAACATGGGCATGCAGGTGTCTATTTGAATCAGTGTTTTTGTGTCTTTTGGGTAGATACCTTGGAGTAGGATTGCTGGGTTATATGGAAGCTCCATTTTTAGCAGTCTGAGAAACCTCCAAACAGTTTTCCATAGTGGTTGTACTAGTTTGCATTCCCAGCAGCAGTGCAGAAGAGTTCCTTTTTCTCCACATCCTCTCCAACATTTGTTGTTTCTAGCCTGTTTTTTCCAGAGCTTTACTGAGAGATGTAGACATAAGACTCCAGGCCTCTTGTGTCCAACTTCATTCTGACTCCCTCACCACTGTCCTGCTAGTCCTGGGACAATGAACCCCTTCTCTGCCAAGACAGGATAGGTGGCTATGAGCCCCAGGATGCCTGTGTGAACCCAGCAAGAAGAATGTTCATTTCTGCCAGCCCAAAAGGGTGGGTAGAGCCAGAGAATCCCCCACAGCTAAGGAGAGGGAAAAGTTCCCAGGGACAGTGGAGGCAATTCTATCTGTGTCCAAGACAGGAATCTACTGCCCCTGTCAGCTGACAGCTACTGGACTCCTCCCCCTGGGTCAAGGAAAGCATGAGAGTTGAGGTCTTGGGAGGCCTTTTGCAGTTCTGCAGTTTTCACACCTCTTTCCAGACTGAGTGCTATGGCAGCCCAAGGACTAGGAGCTGGGAAGGCCCTAAAGGACTCCATTCACTTTACTTTCTACCAAGATGTTGAATGGAATTAAAATTAAAACACCCCATGGACCAGTGTGCCTCTGGAACCTAGGGCAGGAGGGAGGTGGTTGCTAGAGTCCTCAGTAGGTTCTGTGGAGTGAAAGTATGTGTGGTGGAAGAAAGGGTTACCAGCATGGGCAAGACCCTCTGAAAACATTCCTGAAACTAGAAATTTACAGCTATATGTCCAGTCCCCTTTATATCTTCCCATTCTCCCTACAAGCCCACCCCATAGGACCTGCTTCACTGATCTCTGCATGTAGGGCTAGACCTACCTCCCCTCCCCGCCCCCCGCCCCCGCCCTCATGGCCCTAGCTCAAGGCCCAGTTCTGCCTCAAATCCCCCCAGAGCTCAGCAAGCAGAACCTCTTCTGCTGCTATACCCCTATAACTTTTGTCTACCCCATGCTTGGAGCTGTCTGATGGGAAGGTGCCCAGCTCATTGCCTGCACTGAACCTCATAAACTTGAATCTCACTTACCTCTTAGCTTTCTCAGCAACCAGGTGAGGCCTGACAGTGGATGCTGCAAAAGAGATGATGGGTGAGTGAATAGCTCAAGAAACCGAGGCCTCAAGTGGTCAAAACTAAAGCTCAAGATCTCTAGGCCCCCAGGACACAGGATGCCAGGGGCAGGCCCTTTTTGACATAGCTCCCACCTGGCTAATCTTTGCTAATTCTGAAGCCTTGAGCAAGTACCCTCTCCATGCCTCCCTTTCTCCATCTATAATGAGATTCAAATTAGAGGGTTTCAGCCCTAATCATTCTCAGGTTCTGTCATTTTCCCCCTTCCTATGTTATGAAGAGCCCAATGGCATGTGGAAGGAGCTGGGTCTTTTAATTCATAGGGGCCTAAGTGCAGATTCTGGGTCTCTGAACTTCACCGTTCTCATCAATGAAGAGTAGCATCTATTACACAAACTTGTAAACATTAGATATTAAAAAGAAGAACGTAGGAGCCCTCCCTGGTGGCTGCTCTGAGAAGCTAAGCTAAGCAGTCGTCACTTCAGAGCAAGTTCAATCCCCACCCCAGAGATGACCTACACGGCATGGCAGACCTCTGTCTCGCCCACTGCTCCCCTCAGCAGTGTACTTTGTTGATCTGCCTGTCCTGCTCCCCACTCTGTTTTTAGTGAGACTTCTCACCGCCCCTGCACCTCTGATCTGTACCCCATTTCTGTATGCATAAATAAAGAAAATCTTAAAAAAAAAAAACCAGGAGAAGAACATAGTGCCTGACCTGCTCCCAATATATGGTAGTTATCATTACACTAATTACACTAAAGTAGACAGTGAAATGTGTGTGGTAGACAGAAGCATGGGCTCTGGGAAACATGGCTGTAGTCTGAATCCCAGCTTAGTCACTTTCTAGCTATAACCATGGTAAGTAAATTAACTCTCTGTGCCCTCATTTGTAAAATTATAACAATTATACCCATCTCACAGAACTGCTGAAAGGATAAAACAATTCAAAACATTGAAACAGAGCAAGTGTTTCTTATATAACAAGTCTTCAGATATATCAATTATATCATTTTTTTGTAAAGATTTATTTATTTAGGCATACAGAACTGGGGTACAGACCAGAAGTGTGAGAGGTGAGACTGTTACAGGGTAGCCCAGAGTGGACTGGGCCATCTATATGTGGGGCCTCTCCCGCATGCTCATAATTCAGTTATACCGCAGGTACACACAAAAGGGTCAATAATGGGTTTATTTACAAAAGGGGAAAGGAATAGGAAACAACCCAGGGAAAGAGAGAGGAATACAAAGTCACTGGAATACCTTACGGCTAGGCTGACTGAACACACCGTAGTCATGCTGTCAGGAGAGCTACTTCCCAAGCGAGAAAACGAGAGATGCAATCACGACTTATTTATCCCCCAAATGTCCCAGAATTCCTGCTAGCTCCGCCCTTGGGTCCTCACAGTTCTCTCCCTGGTACTGCTGGGAGTTGTAGTTTCCAAACACTGGAGTAGGGAGTAGGGTCCAGAAAGCTGGAGTAGGGGATGGAGTCCACAAGACTCTGCAGAGTTCCTTTAGGACACCCTTCCCCTCAACAAGAGGATTCACCAAAGACAGAGTGGGGGGCAGAACAGGCAGATCAATGAAATACACTGCTGAGGGGAGCAGTGGGTGGGCCAGGAGAGGTCTGCCGTGCCATGTGGGTCACCTCTAGGGCAGGGATGGAACTCATACTGCAGTGATTGTGATAGCTTCATAGTCCTGTGCATTAACATGTTGCACCACCAGGGAGGGCCCTATAATGTTATTTTTTTTTAACTGAGAATAGATGAGTATATGTGTAGGGGAGTGTTCTCCATCTACTACCACATCCAGCCCTACCAAGTTTATAGTCTCATTCTCTTCCTACCACTCACCTCCTCAGTCTATGGCCTACCCAGTCTTCACTTAACACTGAGTCTGGTGACCTTCCTCCACTGTGGCTCTTCCAGAAAGTTGAACTCACTCCTGTGCCCTCCCTGAAGCCTGCCCTCCTCTGTACCATGGAGCCTTGTTAGATGGTTCTGTGACCTCTGCGGAGCCTGACTTCACCCAGCAGATATCTGCACTTGATCACAGCCAAACAGCCCAGAAGAGATACCCAGCAAGTGTCTGGTTACAGGCCAGGGACCCTGAGTATCTCATACTCACTCAGATGTGAGCTCAGAGAAATACACTCAGAGAAAGGGACTCTGCCGCCTCCTTTATCCAGGTCCTGATAGCATTCACTGACTTTGTGTTTCCTCAGGGCTGCCCTAAATCTTGACTTTTCATTCTTGAGTTCTTCAGATATTCACAAAGGATGCTTTCTTCAGCCTTGGCTGAGTGATAGGAACTCAAGGAACTAGAATTGAAAGTAAAAGTGAGTAATTCATTTTCATTCACTAGATTTGCAACTACGTATATATGATACCTAGCTCAAGGATGTGGGAAAATGGGCACATTCATATTTTGATGGAGTGTGAATTGACAGAGCCTCTTTGGAGGGCAGCTCAGTACTGCCTATCAGCATTTAAAACACACTTTGCAAAATAATGATATTTCCATAACAGTAAGACATTTTCTTTAAATAAAATTTTAAAAAAGATATGGAGGCTCAGAGTGTTAAAGCACAGCACTAAGAAGCTAAAGCCACGTCAGCATGAGTTGGATCCCTGCCCCAGAGGTAACCACATGGTGCGGCAGACCTCTCCTGACACGCCCGCTGCTCCCCTCAGCAGTGTACTTCATCTGTTGGCCTGTTCTGCTCCCCACTCTGTCTCTGGTAAAGCCTCTCACCGCCCCTACACCTCTGGCCTGTACCCTAGTTCTGTATGCATAAATAAGTAAATCTTTTTAAAAAAGATAAACATACCCTTGACCCACTGATACCACTCCAAGTTATCCTATAGAAATATCTGTGCCTACACAAAGATATCTTTGCAAAGATGAATATGCACTGAGCACTGTTTGTGATGATAAAACTCTGGGGAAAATATAAACGCCTAGTGATAGGGAAATAAATAAGAAATGGAAGATCCATACTAAGGAATATTATGCAACTTAAAAATGAAGTAGATACACGCATCCATGAGCTTCGACATATTAAGAGAAAAGTGGCATGTTGCAGAGCAAATGATCTCATTTCTGGGGGGAGAAGCCCACCCTTCCCCCTCCTCTCAGCTGGTGGAGGCTTCCTGCTAAGATCAGTCTGGCTCACAAGAGGCTGCACTGGGTTGGAAGCCCAGCCTCTTCCTTCTAGCCAAATGGGCCAGTGTCCCAGGATGGCCACACCTGGGGTAGGGGAAGGAAGGACTTCTGAGGTCCCAGGGTCAGGGGTCTTGCCTGGTGAAGCACAACGGAAGCAACCTCCTTCCTGAGCAGACAGACCAAGGTTCAAATCATGCCTCTCACCAGAGAGCAAAGTTTCCCCGAGCCCTTGTTTCCCCATCTATAAAATGGGATTAATAACACCTGCTGTGTAGTGGGAAATTAATGAGACCAGCATCATGTACACATTTGCCTGCTCCTGTCCGCTCAAAGCTTTCTTTTACTTTGCTTTGAGATTCTGTTAAGGGGAAGGATGTCCTAAAGGAACTCTGCAGAGTTTTGTGGACTCCAGCCCCTACTCCAGTGATTGAAAACTACAGCTCCCAGCAGTACCAGGGAGAGAACTGTGAGGACCCAAGTGTGGAGCTAAGTTGCCATTCTGGGACTTTGGGGGATAAATAGGGCACCATTTCATCTCTCGCTAGCTCAGGAAACAGCTCTCGGGACTGCATGACTCGGGGCTTTCAGTTAGCTTGTTACCAGAGCTCCAAGTCAGCCCAGCCAGTAAGATATTCCAGTTGTTTCCTTTTCTTTCCCCTTTTGTAAATAAACCCATTTTGACCCTTTTGTGTGCACCTGCAGTACAACTGAATTTTAAGCACACGAGTGAGGCCCCACAGACAGGCAGCCCAGTTCATACTGGGGTACCCTGTAACAGTTTCTGTGATCCAGCCTAGCTGCATCTCTGCTCATGGGATCATCCATCCTCCCTGCCCTAGTTCTTATCTAATTACCACTGTGGGCTCTTCCCAGGTCCACTCTTCACTCACTGACCACAATGAGGACTCCTCTATCACTGAGTATGTTAAAGGGCACC